AGCCACGGGCACTCACCACGGGCACAGGCCAAGGGATGTGGGATGCATTTGGTGGCTCTCGCCCCTCTGAGTCTTAGGGGCTGCGTTCATGCTGGGTTTAGCCCTGCACTGGCAAAGCCCGAGGCCAATCCAAGCCAATTACTTGGCACCTGTTTCCCTGGTGCTGGTTCTTTGCCAAACCAGCCACATCTATGCCACAAACAGGCTGGTGCAAACCTAGGGGACCAGGGCAGACCCTGGCATCACTGAGCCACCCATCCTCATCCCTTAAGGGTCTTTTCCAACCCAGTTGATTCTACCATTCACACCAGTGCCTGGAAGCAAACCATCCCGTGTTGACAAGGCACTGACAGACTGTCGCAAACATGGATGCTCCACTTTGGCCCATGGGTCAGCCAGGGCAGGATGGTTCTGTGCCCTGTGTCACCCCGGCCTGCCATGCGTGCCATGGCCCCGGGGCTGGCAGGGCCAGCATGCCAGCCAGGAGGCACCGGGTCACGCCAGCTCATCACCCGCCCCAGCTTCATTCCTCTGTGGCACAGTCACGAGTGCTGGGTGCTGCCAGGCCCTTTTGTTTCCCGGGCACAGCATCCCACAGCACCCAGGGACATCCCCAGGCCCATGAGCAGCCACTGCCATAGGGCAAGCCAAGACCACCAGGGAAAACACCAGCACCAAGCACACACCGAGCCTTAAGGCTGTGTTCAGCTGGGAGCTGAGCCCAGGGCTCCACTGAGCCTGAGGCCGTGGCTGAGCTCCCAGTGCTTGGGGTTAGAAACCTGCCCCTGGGGAAGCTTTTCCCATGCACTGTGTCTCTGGAGCAGAATGGGGCACCCCAGGCCCGGGGGTGATGGGGAGGCTGTGTAGCATTGAGGAATCTCCTGCCCAAGCACCCATAACTCCCCCTGGACTGGGGGGGGTCTGATCAGAGCCCTGATGGCGTGGGCTGCATCAGGCATTCCCTTTCCCCATCTCCCTTCCCTGCAGCCATGCAGTCAGTGCTGCAGTCAGTCCATGCACTTGGGCTATGCCAGCCATGGGAGAGGTGCCCTCGGTGGGTGACACCTCCTAACTCCTTACGTGTGCCTGATGTGCTGGAAGCCCTCTGGGTCCTCCTGGGGCTCAGCCCATCCTCTTCCTTCCCCTTGTGCTTGGGAGCCGGGAGCTCAGTGGATCTGAGCAATCCTCCCCAGCACCCTGCTGACCTGGAGAAGCAGCCTTCCTGCCCATGTGTCTGTTGTGATGCCACAACCCAGGCCCAGTAATGGGCCATGGGGAGAAGGTCATGGTGGGGGATGCTCCCTCCATATGCTGAGAGCATGGGAGAGCAGAATCCTCTCCTGGTGTGTCCCCAGAGCCACAGGGGGATGGTGCCCATGGGATGCTCCGCTGCCATGGAGCACCCACAGCACTGATGGACCAAGGGCAGCTCCTCCTTGAGCCTGAGGATGGGGGACAGGGGCTGCCACGGCCTCATTGCCAGCGCCAGTGGCTCCCAAGGATGGGTCCCTGCTGTCCCCTTGCTGCTGGGCCAAGCTCCCAGGGCACCTTCAGGGATGGGGGGAACACAGCACCGGGTGCTGCCATCCCAGGCCTGGCATCCCACTGCAGCAAGGAGGTGGTCATGAGTTTGGAGTGAGTTGGTGACACAAGGGCCGGCAAGGGAAGGTGCAGGTACATTGGAGCAGGGAATGGCTGATTCACCAGGGTGCTGCTCATGTCACCTACCCCGCCAGCAGTAGCTTGGCCCACAGATGTTGCCCCACAGAGCCTGTTTGCCCAGGCAGTACCGTGGTGTGGCTGCCGGCACACCAAGTGAGCCATGGCACAGGCTGAGGGTGCTGCAGGACCCTGTGCCAGGCACTGCCAGCCCTCCACAAGGGCCAGGCCTGCAGCATCCTCAGGGTGAGCACTACAAGGTGGGTGTTGAGCCCCCCAGCTTTCACCCTATGGAGGCAGCGGGGTGCCCTATGTGGGGCTGAGAGTTGGTGCCAGGAGGAACAGTGTCTACGGTAGTCGATGCTGCTCTGTCCAACCAGCACAACCAGGGGTGCTTGCACGGCAAAGAGAAAGGGGGGGGGGGGGTGATGGGGCTGTGGAGCAGGGGGTGCAGCTCAGCTCCCTGCAGCACCTAGGGCAGGTTGGGGGCCTCCTGTCTTGGGGGTGCCAGCACCGGTCCCTGCACGGAGCCGGTCCTGCCCCGCTCCGCATCCTGCGGTCCCGCGGTCGGCACTGCCACCTACCGGCTGCCCTCGGAACGGCAGGGACCGGTACCAGAGCCAGCCCGGCTCAGCCCTCAGTGCATCCATCGCATCTGCCCCGGCTGCCTGGAGCGGAGCCGCCGGGTGTGGAAGGATGCAGGTCACCCTCTCCCAACCCATGGCCTTTCCCCAGGATGCGATCAGCAGCTCCTGGCCGTGCTCTTCCCCCTCCTCAAAGCCGTCTTTGACATTTCATCTCGGAGCGTTTTATTTGGGAAGGCAAAAAAGCAAGGAACAAACGCAGCCATTGAATAAACCTCGTGAGAGCGAAATAACTGACACTATTTACAGGTATAGAATACACGTACACACCTTGTCCTCTGCCATACCCAGGCTGCTGGGCTGGGCTGCATGACCCAGCAGAGACAAAAACACACCTTCACCAGAGCTGGCCTCTGGAGAACAGCTCTGAGCAAGAGAAGGCACCTGCTGTTTGCAGACATGGGCAATGGCAGCGGGTGATGGAGCTGGTGACGCGATGCTGCCACTGCCTCAGCCCTCCCCAGCACTGGGCTGGGTGGTGCTGGGTGGTCCCAGGACATGTGGACTATGGCACGTACCAGGGCAGAGCTGTTACAAGGGAGGGGACCAACCTCTGGGGATAGAAGGAAGGTGCAGGGCTTGCTTTTGGGGGGGTCTCCCTCCCATTTCCAGCTGGGGCAGCAGGGGGGTGCCCTGTCCCTCTCCAAGACAGTGAAGGGGGCTCAGGGAGGGGGTTGCAGAGCAGAGCAAAGCTCCTGTAATCCTGCTTTCAGCAAGCAGGAACCCTGTGCTCTGCAGGGGTTGGACCTGGACCAGCGTGGGACAGGGGGAGCACTGGGACAGGGGCACTGGGAGAGCACCCTGGGGAGCAGGCACTGGTTCTGCAGCACCAAGGCTGAGGCCCCAGAGGAGCTGTGCTTAGGGAGGAACAGGAGAGGGGCAGGAGCCCAGGGCCCAGCTCCTCACAGCTGCCAGGCTGGGAGATGCAGCCCCCATGGGTCCTTCTGTGCCACAAGAGCTGCGAGTGCCAGGGATGGGGCAGTGCCCAGGCTTCCGGGGGGGCTCAGAGTGGTTTGGGGACCCCTGTGTGCAAAGCTCAGCACAAAGCAGGGTGAAACAAAACAGGGTGCAGGGTGCGAGGGCAGCTCCAGGCTGCCCCTTTCCAAAGCCCATTGTGCCAGGGGAGGAGGGTACAGCTGTGTGCCAGCTCCCCAGTCCGAGCAGGGGGTAGTGGGGGGGCTCCAGGGGTACCCTGGTTTATGTTCAGTGTCTGGAACAGGATCTAGGTTCAGCTCTGAGAGCAGGAGCAGGAATACCGGCTGAGCCGAGCCTTTCAGAGGTCCCTTTCCATCCTTCAAAGGGATAAGATGGACCAGTTCCAGGCTGCCCATCAACTCCATAAGAACGCCCCAAATGCCAAGCCTCAGTCCAAGCATCCCACCAGCAACGAGAGCAAAATCCCAGAGGGATGGGAAGGAGAACGGAAGGAATGGAGCTCCCATGGGTTGAGATAAGAGCAGTGCAGTGAGTAAGGTATAACATGGATCACTGCTGCTGCCGCCAATGGTAATAATGATAAGGGAAATAAGGGGAGATAATACAGTACCACCAACCGACTGATACTGATACCCAGCAGAGAACTGACTCCTCCGGGTAGCTCTCAGTTACATCCTGGCCATGACGTGCTGTGCTATGGAATATCCCTTTGGTCACTTTGGCTCAGGTGTCCTGTCCCATCTTCCTCTCGGCATCCCTTGGCAGAGCACGAGGCTCACAAAGTCCTTGGTCAGTCCTTGAGCAGTAACTAAACCCATTGGTGTTATCAACACTGTTCCCAGGATGAAAGTCAAAACACAGCGCTGCACCAGCTACCAAGAAGGAGAGAAACGACTCCTACTGCTGACCCCAGGACACTCGGTGTGCAGTGAGCTGCGGGTGAGGATTCGTGGTCCAAGGGTGAATTCAAGTGTGAAAACTCTAACAAGAGAAGGATAAAACCATCAGCACCCGCTCCCCACAGCATCCCCGGAAGGAAACGCAGTGGTAAGAGCAAACAGCTTGCATCGTGGGGTAGCTAAACCACATAAACACACAAGAAATGCATGGGAATTACCAACCCACAAAGGTGCTGACACACACACACAGATGTAGGATCACAGTCACTCCTCCATTCAACACCAGCAGCATCACATGAAGGCGACAGAAGCCTTGAAGCCCCCTAACATGCTGGTGGATAGAGCAATGAAGCGGGTGCTCAGCATCATCCATGATCGACCACTTGGTCAGGGGAAATAAAGAAGTCTGAGATGCTGTTGCTGGGCATCACCTACAAACAGGGGGCACCAGCACAGCCCCATCAGCAGGGCAATTCAGCTAAACCTCCATCTGTGCAGTGCATCTTTGGGAAGGGATACAGTTAGGGTTGAGGGTTAGGGTTAGGTTAGCTATGGGTAGGGATAGAGCTGGGAGTTAGGGTAAGGGTTAGGGAGGGTTAAGGAGAGCCCCAATATAGACGTAAGGAGTCAAGGGGGGGGGCAATACAGACCTAGGAGGGTTAAGGGGGAGACCCATTGCAGAATCATGGGGTTAAGGGAATGGACCATGCCCTTCCCAAGCCTGAGGAGCCCTAATGCAGACTGGGGACTCCCCCATCCCCGTGGAGCCTGGTGGGTACCGCAGCCACTCCCAGCTAAGGAGCAGAGCCGCGGTGGGGCCCACTTTTGTCGTTGCCACTTTAAGACCACCCGGGGCTCGGCCCTCGCGGAAGGGGCGTGGCCAGGCTGGCGCGGGAAGGGGGCGTTTTCCCGCGGAGTTGGTGCGGGGGGCACGGGAGGAGCGCGTGCGCGGCCATGGCGGTGTTGGGGTACTGGGACATCCGCGGGGTGAGCGCCATGGGGGGTCCTGGGGGCTCCTGGGTCTTAAAGGGGGCCTCATGCACTTAGAGGGGGCTCTGGGGGACTCCTGGGTCTTAAAGGGGGTCCTCACGCACTTAGAGGGGGCTCTCGGGGTCTCCTGAGTCTTAAAGGGGGTCCTCATGCACTTAGAGGGGGCTCTGGGGGCTCCTGGGTCTTAAAGAGGGTCCTCAAGCACTTAGAGGGGGCTCTGGGGGCTCCTGGGTCTTAAAAGGGGGTCCTCATGCACTTAGAGGGGGCTTTGGGGGCTCCTGGGTCTTAAAGGGGGTCCTCATGCACTTAGAGGGGGCTCTGGGGGCTCCTGGGTCTTAAAGGGGGTCCTCATGCACTTAGAGGGGGCTTTGGGGGCTCCTGGGTCTTAAAGGGGGTCCTCATGCACTTAGAGGGGGCTTTGGGGGCTCCTGGGTCTTAAAGGGGGTCCTCATGCACTTAGAGGGGGCTTTGGGGTCTCCTGGGTCTTAAAGGGGGTCCTCATGCACTTAGAGGGGGCTCTGGGGGCTCCTGGGTCTTAAAGGGGGTCCTCATGCACTTAGAGGGGGCTCTGGGGGCTCCTGGGTCTTAAAGGGGGTCCTCATGCACTTAGAGGGGGCTTTGGGGGCTCCTGGGTCTTAAAGGGGGTCCTCATGCACTTAGAGGTGGCTTTGGGGGCTCCTGCTGGGGGGGGGGGTTCCTGGGGGGGGGCTATGCTCTTGCAATGGGACTGTGGGGGTCGTCGTGCACTTAATGGGGGGCTCTGGGGGTCCCTCTGCTATTAGAGGGGGGCTATGGTGGGAGCCTTGCAGTTGGCGGGGGGGTTGCAGGGGGTCCCCTGAGTCTTACAGGGGGGGTCCTCATGCACTTGGAGGGGTCCTCTGGGGTTGCTTCTGCTCCTGGAGGGGATTGCAGGAGCCCCCCTGCTCTTGGAGGGGGCTTTGGGGGTCCCCCTGGTTTTGCTGGGGGCGGCTCTGGGGTCCCCTCTCCTTGTGGGGGGGTTCCCATGCACTTGGGGGGGGGGTTCTGGGATCCCCTTGGTCTTGCAGGATGGGCTCTGGGGGGGTTGCAGCTCTCCCCCATCCATGCCTCAGTTTCCCCATACTGGGGGTGTATGGGGGGGTCCCACTGATCGCTGCCCCCCCCCCCCCAGCTGGCCCATGCAATCCGCCTGCTGCTGGAGTACACAGAGACCCCCTATGAGGACAAGCTCTACAGCTGCGGGGAAGGTAAAGGGGGTCCGGGGGGGGCCAATGTCAGCCTCAGGCCTTTGGGGTGCATGGGGGTACCCAACACCCCCAAACCCCTCCATGTCCTTCCAGCTCCTGACTATGACAAGAGCCAATGGATCAATGAGAAGGAGAAGCTGGGCCTGGACTTCCCCAATGTAGGTGGTGTTGGGTGGGGGGGGATGGTTGGGGGGTGTTTTGGGGGGGTGTGGCTTCATGTCCCAGTGCCCCCCCCCAGCTCCCCTACTTCATCGATGGGAAAGTGAAGCTGACACAGAGCAACGCCATCATGCGCTACATCGCCCGCAAGCACAAGATGTGTGAGTGCAGGGATGGGGTGGGACTGGGTTGGCCTTGGACTTGGGTTGGGTTTGGCTTGGAGAGGGGTTGGGCTTGGCCTTGGGTTGGGCTTGTGCTTGGGTTGGGATTGGGTTGGGATTGACTTGGAGAGGGGTTGGGCTTGGGGTTGGGTTGGGTTGGGACTGATTTAGAGAGGGGTTGGGCTTGGACTTGGACTTGGGTTGGGATTGATTTGGAGAGGGGTTGGCCTTGGTGTTGGGCTTGGGTTGGGATTGGGTTGGGGTTGATTTAGAGAGGGGTTGGGCTTGGCCTTGGCTTTGGGTTGGGTTGGGCTTGGGTTGAGACTGATTTGGAGAGGGGTTGCGCATGGACTTGCATTGGGTTGGGTTGGGATTGATTTAGAGAGGGATTGGCGTTGGCCTTGGATTTGGTTTGGGTTGGGTTTGGCTTGGGATTGACTTGGAGAGGGGTTGGGCTTGGCCTTGGATTTAGGTTGGGTTGGGCTTGAAGTGGGGTTGGGCTTGGGTTGGGATTGTTTTGGAGAGGGGATTGGCTTGGAGCTGGGGTTGGACTTGGGTTGGGTTCAACTTGGAGTGGGGTTGGGCTTGGCCTTGGATTTAGGTTGGGTTGGACTTGGGTTGTGTTGGGCTTGAAGTGGGGTTGGGCTTGTGTTGGGATTGACTTGGAGAGGGGATGGGGTTGGAGCTGGGGTTGGGCTTGGAGTGGGGTTGACTTGGGTTGGGTTGAACTTGGAGTGGGGTTGGGCTTGGCTTGGGATTGACTTGGAGAGGGGTTGGGGTTGGCCTTGGACTTGGGTTGGGTTGAACTTGAAGTGGGGTTGGGCTTGGTTTGGGATTGACTTGGAGAAGGGTTGGGCTTGGCCTTGGATTTGGGTTGGGTTGTGTTGGACTTGGGTTGGGTTGAACTTGGAGTGGGGTTAGGCTTGGCTTGGGATTGACTTGGAGAGGGGATGGGCTTGGAGCTGGGGTTGGGCTTGGAGTGGAGTTGACTTGGGTTGGGTTGAACCTGGCCTTGGAGTTGGGTTTGGGTTGGGTTTAGGTTGGGTGCCCCCACACAGCACTCATGTCCTGCCCCCCATAGGCGGTGAGACGGATGAGGAGATCCTGCGTGTGGACATGCTGGAGAACCAGGTCATGGATTTCCGCATGAGCCTGGTCATGGTCTGCTACAACCCCGACTTCGTGAGTGCCCCATGGCGCTGGGTGCCCCACGGCCGGGGCTCTGTGTGGGGCTGGGGCTCTCGGTGCCCTGGGGGCTCCTCTCCAGCGCTGTCTCCTGCAGGAGAAGCTCAAGCCGGGGTACCTGGAGCAGCTCCCGGGGAAGCTGAAGCTGTTCTCCACCTTCCTGGGGGACAGGAAGTGGTTTGCGGGCGAGAAGGTACCGGGGGACCCCATGGGGTGCTGAGGGGGGGGGGTTTGTCCCCACATTGACCCTCACCGCATCCCCATCATCCCCAGCTCACCTTCGTGGACTTCCTCATGTTCGATGTCCTGGACCAGAACCGCATCTTCGAGCCCAAGTGCCTGGAGCCCTTCAAGAACCTCAAGGACTTCATGGACCGCTTTGGGGTGAGCGGGGGCGCCCAAAGCATCACCTTTCCCCCCCCTCTCCTTGGGGGAAGGACCCTGAGGGCACCCATGGGGTGGGGGTCCTGATGCTGCCTTTGCCTCCCCCCCTCCATAGGCCCTGGAGAAGGTGGCTGCCTACATGAAGTCCAGCCGCTTCCTGAAGATGCCCATCAACAACAAGATGGCCAAGTGGGGCAACAAGAAGGAGTAGGGGCTCGGTGTGGGGCTAGGACAGGGGGGTCCAGCACCCTCATTGTGGGGTCACACACACACGACAGTGCTGACTTGAGGCCCTCCAACATAATAAAGTGCTTTAGTTGTGGCACCCTGAGCCCCCCAAGTGCTGTGCTGTCAGGGTGGGGGGCACCGGGCTTGTCCCCCCCATCATGGGGATGAGTGGGGACATCCCTGCCCCATGGCCATTGTCAGCCCCCTTGGCATGGGTTGGTTTGGGGGGCGCAGAAGCTCAGCCCTGTGGGGTTCCTCATGCACTTATTGGGGGTTCTTATGTCCTTAGAGGGGGGTTCTGGGGTTCCTTCTGCCCCTGGAGGGGGTGCAGTGGGTGTCCCCATTGTCTTGCGGGGGGGCTGTGGGCATCCCCATTGTCTTGCATGGGGGCAGTGGGGGTCCCCATTGGGGGGCAGTGGGTATGCCCATTGTCTTGCAGGGGGGCTCTGGGGATCCCCATTGTCTTGCAGGGGGGCTGTGGGGGTCCCCATTGTCTTGCAGAGGGGCAGTGGGCATCCCCATTTTCTTGCAGGGGGGCTGCAAGGGTTCCCATTGTCTTGCAGGGGGGCAGCGGGGGTCCCCATTGTCTTGTATGGGGGCAGCGGGGGTCCCCATTGTCTTGCAGGGGTGCTGTGGGGGTCCCCATTGTCTTGCAGGGGGGCAGTGGGCATCCCCATTGTCTTGCAGGGGGGCAGTGGGGGTCCCCATTGTCTTGCAGGGGGGGTGCAAGGGTTCCCATGCACTTAACAGGGGCCCTGGGGGTCCTCATGCCCCCACTTTGGGCATTGTTTGGTGGGTGCTGCCCATGATGGGGACCCAGAGGTGTCCCTTGGGTGCTGCTGTGCCCCCCCCCCCGCATGGTGCCCCCCAGCACACCCCACTGCCATCACCCTCTTTATTTCCCATAGCAGGCACTTTACACTTTGTGGGGTGCCCCCCCCGCCCTCCACTTCCCTTGGGGGGGGTCCCCAAGAACCCAGTGGTGTAGTGGGGGGGGTCCCAGCAGCTTTGTGTCATTGGGGGCACCTATTCCCTAAAGAGTGGATCTCGGATTGGGGGGGACACACCCTCGAGCCCCCCAATCCTGCAGTGCTCGTGGGGCTCCATCCTGGGGGTGCTTGGGGTCCATGGAGGGTCAGTCCGTGGGGCCCATCTGCAGGGAAGGGGAAGGGGTTGGTGTATTCTGGGGGCAATGGGGGGGTGAAGGGGGTTATGGGAGTGCTATGGGGGAAGCAGGGTGTTATGGGGGTGCAGGGGCGCTATGGGGGGTGCAGAAGGTTATAGGGGGCTATGGGGTTGTGGGGGGTGCAGGGGGCTTCAGGGGGGCCATGGGGGTGCAGGGGATCATGGGGGGTGCAGGGGGCTATGGGGCTGCAGGGAGCTATGGGGGTGCAGGGGCCATGGGGGGTGCAGGAGGCTATGGGGGTGCAGGGGGCTATGGGGGTGCAGGAGTTATGGGGGTTCAGGGGATCATTGGGGGGTGCAGGGGGTTATGGGGGTTCAGGAGGTTATAGGGGTTCAGGGGGCTATGGGGGGTTCAGGGGGTTATGGGGGTGCAGGGGCTATGGGGGGTGCAGGGGCCGTGGGGGTTCAGGGGATCATTGGGGGGTGCAGGGGCCATGGGGGTCCCCTCACCCCCAGCGCGGCGCGGGCCGAGGACAGCTTGAAGAGGAGGCGGCGCCACTCCTCGGGGCAGACGGCGCGGAGCTCGGCTGCGCTCATCTGGAGGAGCTGCTGGCCCCGGAGAGCACCCAGGCAGCGAACGGTGCTGCAGGGAGGGGAGGGAGGGATGGGGAGGGATGGAAGGAGGGGAGGGGTGAGAGAAGGAGGGAGGGATGAGGGGAGGGATGGAAGGAAGGAGGGAGGGATGAAGAGAAAGAGAGGGATGGAGGGAATGAAGGAGGGATGGATGAGGGGAGGGGTGAAGAGGAGGAAGTAGGGAGGGAAGGAAGGAGGGGTGAGGGGAGGGATGAAGAGAAGGAAGTAGGGATGAGGGGAAGGATGGAAGGAAGGAGGGATGGATGAGGGGAGGGGTGAAGAGGAGGGAGGGAGGGATGGAAGGAAGAAAGGAAGTAGGGATGAGGGGAGGGATGGAAAAGATAAGGGGAGGGAGGGAAGGAAAGAGGGAGGGATGAAGAGGAGGGAGGGATGGAAGGAAGGCAGGAGGGATGAGGGGAGGGGTGGAAGGAAAGAAGGAGGGGTGAAGGAAGGGATGAAGGGAGGGATGGAAGGGATGAAGAGAAGGAGGGAGGGATGGAAGGAAGGAAGGAATGAGGGGTGAGGGGAGGGATGAAGAGAAGGAAGTAGGGATGAGGGGAGGGATGGAAGGGATGAGGGGAGGGATGGAAGGAAAGAGGGAGGGATGAAGAGAAGGAGGGAGGGATGGAAGGAAGGCAGGAGGGATGAGGGGAGGGGTGGAAGGAAAGAAGGAAGGATGAAGGGAGGGATGGAAGGGATGGAAGGAAGGAGGGGTGTATGGATGGGCAGGCGGATAGACAGAGGGATGGGGGATGCGCAGTGAAGGGGTGAGCAGAGCTTGGCCCCCCCCACAGTGGGGCCCCCACGCTGGTTGTTGGGTGCCGGTTGGGGGGCTCAAGGCTCCACCTACATCCGGGAGAATCCCTTGTCCTGCAGCCAGGCCGTCACCTCGGCGGGGGGGGAGTCGGGGTGCAGGCTGGGGGGGCTGGTCTGGAGCGGGGGACACGGGGTGAGACCCCTGCGCTCCCCCTCCTGGCGCTGGGAGGGGAACGGGGGGCACCCACCTGGCTGTGCCCCCCCCACAGGGGCTCCAGGATGTTGCTGGGGACGAACCCCTTGTCCCCCCGGGTGTCCTGCACCAGCCACCACCTCCTCTGCTGCTCCAGGACCTGGGGAGCACGGGGACAGGGGGGGAGCCTTCCAGCACCCATCATGCACTGAACCCTCCCCAGCAGCACCCATAGGGGACCCCCCCCCTTACCTGCAGCGTGTCCCCCATCCTGACGCTCAGCTCCTGCGGGTTCCTGCTCTGGAACTCATAGAGGGCTCGGACCAGCCCCTGCCCAGCGGATGGGGCCCTGCAGATGGATGGGGGGACCATGAGCATCCATCCAGGGGTGGGATGATGATGCCCTCAGCACCCTCAGGACCACTTACGCTTGGCCAGGACTGTCCCTGCGGCCGGTGCCCGGTGGCTGTGTGTTGAGCAGGGAGTAGGGCGAGTGCGGGGTGTGAGAGGGATGCACTGATGCAGGCGATGGGATGTCCTGGTCCCCTCCACGCTGTACCTGCCCCATAGCGGGGGGCACCCACCCATCCGAGAAGACGGGGGTGTAGCGGGGCACCAGCTCGCTGTCGGGGTACTCTGCCCTGCAGCGGGCACAGGGGGGAGCCGAGTGGGTGCTGGGACCCCCAAACCAAGGCTGGACCCCCCCAAACCTCGGTGCTGGTGGCGCTGGACCCCACCTTGCCCTGTTCCAGGCCGAGCCCAGGCTCTTCCATGTGCGGAAGTTGTCCTGGTCCAGGCTCCGCTCCAGCAGCTCCAGCGCTTCGGGCACCAGCAGCGGCGCCTCCACCGATGGGGCCAGGCTGGGGTTGGGGCAATGGGCGAGGACCTGCGGGGATGGGGCTGGAGCAGCACCCCCATGGGGGGGGGGGGGCACACACACACACACACACACACACCCCAATGCGCACCCCTGGGGGGGGTTTGGGCCCGGTTTTGGGGGGCACTCACAAAGGAGAGGGCGGTGAAGATGAGAGCGAGCAGCTCCTGTGGGTCCGGCTCCTGAACGTGCTGGTGGGTCCGTCCCTGTGGGGAAGGGGTGAGGGTGACCCCACAGAGCCCCCCCTCCCCAGCCCCATAGAACCCCCCCCCCCATTGAGGATGCATCAGGGATGCCCACAAGCCATGGGGGTCTCATCCAGCCCTATGGGACCTACCAAGAGGTTAAGGGCGTATTTCACCTTCTGGAAGAAGTCCGTGTAGTCACTCATGGAGGGCAGGGCTGCAGGAGGAGGAAAAGGGGGGGCTGGCACCGGGATGGACCCCCCCAGACCACCCCCCCCCCCCAAAACCCTTCCTCATCACCTTTCTTCTTCATCTTCTTCTTCTTCTTCAGGTCACTGATGCTGTCCATGCCCAGGGCGGCCCTCACCCGGTTCATAAAGAGCTCCAGGTCGCCCAGCACATGGTTGAGAACCTCCTATAGGAGCAGGATGAGCCCCACTGGGTGCTGTGGGGAAACACTGCGGTGTCCCCATTGGAGGGGGGAGATGGGACTTACAACATCCCGGTCCACCTCGGACATGACCGGGCTCAATGGGGTGGTCCATGGGGTGTTCTGGGTGTCCATCAGCCCTGGGTGAGAGCAGAGGGTCCCAGCTCTGCCCCCCATCACCTCCATTCCCCTCCATGGGGATACTGAGGCACTGGAGAGCCCCCCCCCCTTTACTCACCGTGGTCCAGTCTGTGCTGGTTGGACACGAAGGCATCGGTTTTGGGGGGCTCTGCCCATTGCTGTGGGGCCAGGGGGGGACCCTGCGCGTACGGGGGGGTTTGGCTGCTCCTGGGCAAGGAGGGATGGGAAAGGGGGTGCTGAGGGGAGATGGAGCCCAGGGATGGGATATGAAGGTATGGGGTCATGGGGGGGATGCTGTGTCTATGGGGCTGAGGGGAGATGGAGCCCATGGATGGGATATGAAGGTATGGGGTCATGGGGGGGGGCTGTGTCCATAGGATGGGGTGTGAGGGTCACAGGCAGGAGCTACATGAGAGGGGGTTGTAAGGGGATGCTGTGTCCATGGGGCTGAGGGGAGATGGAGCCCATGGATGGGATATGAAGGTATGGGGTCATGGGGGGGATGCTGTGTCTATGGGGCTGAGGGGAGAGGGAGCCCAGGGATGGGATATGAAGGTATGGGGTCATGGGGGGGCTGTGTCCATGGGATGGGGTGTGAGGGTCACAGGCAGCTCCATGAGAGGGGGTTGTAGGGGGATGCTGTGTCCATGGGGCTGAGGGGAGATGGAGCCCATG